TGGTTATTACTTTTTCATTTCTTTGTAGGTGTGTTCTCTTTTGACTTCAAAGATGTTGCTGACAATGTTGACGACGCTGGCAGTAACGGCGAAGAAGGCGATCAGAAATTAATACGAAGGGCAAATTCAATAGGCAAATTCTCTAAAATTCTATATACGTTATTGATAACGATGACAGGGTCTCAGTTGAAAACGCCAATATATTGCTGATTCTTTCTGTTCTAAAAGAAAAGAGAAAAGTAGTTAACATAATACTAAATAATATATATTATTCATTATACTACATTAATTATTAAATAAAACATCTAATATTAATCGTAAAAGATTATGTGGTTTAGATTACAAAAATGTAACGACTTAATAGAAAGTTCACTTATTGCTCATTTACCTAAAATATTGGGTGAAGTGCACTTTCGTTTGTATTACGGACGAAGTTACCATAAAACCTGTTTCACCTTCTTTATCGAAGAAGTTTTTGCCCCCATATTTCTACGGTCCCACACGCATTCCGGGTGTTTTTTTTAATTTTACAGTAAACACAATTTTAAATTTTTAAATCAAACTTGTGAGATCTTAATTATTACTTTCCTGATGTTAACCCGAAATAAATATTGTTAAATATAATATATATAATATCATATATTATTATATATGATATTTTGTAATGATTTGAAATATATATTTGATAAATAAACTTATTTTTATATTTTTATATATTAATTTACATTATATTATTATTATTTACACTATCATGGACGTGAGATGCGCTTGACGACAAAATGAACTGTCAGTTCAGTTTACACTGTCATGAACTGTCATGAGCGTGAAATTTGTTTTGTTTTGTGTAAACGTACAAAATGCTTGTGTGTAGTAGTGCAGAGCACAGAAATTGAGAGTATTCAGTATTAAAAGGTAAACGTAAACATAACATTGCATATGTATGCGTGTCAAGCTGAAGAAACGCAGCAAATTTCATTGCGTGAAATTCATGAACTCACATCACACTTGTCTGTTTATGTTTACATTTTGTTTCACGTGTCACATATGTCAAATTTGCATTCGTCATTTTTGGTATAATTTTGGTCGAATTTTGTTTACTTTATGCTATAGTAAGTCAAAAAGCACGGAAGCTCTTTGTATGGTAAATAAAATTTATCAGTAAGATAAGCTTACTAAGTAAGCAAAATGCCCGTTTAAATGTAAAATAGAAAATATCAAACAATTATTTTTTCAATAGAATCAAAGCATGAAACTGTTATAAAAACTAATTCTAATCCTTAATTTTACTCAATTGTGGCTTGAGAAATTAACAAAATTTCTGTCCATTTTTACTGGCTTCGCGTTCCAATACACAAAACCAGTAGGAATTGAGTAAAAGATGGTAACGAGTGCGATGAAGATAAATTTCATGTTATTATTATCATGTTATTATTATTAATACTTTTTGTTATTACAGCTGATTTCTGTACACTTTTAAATAAACTCTTCATTAAAAGAAAATTAAAGAACACAGTAAAATGTAGAAAACTAACGAAAACAAAGTTAATTTCAAATAATTTATTTAAATTTGTTTTGTGCGCATTTTTTCTTTAATTTAATTTGCAAATACAAATTGTACATAATATAAATAAAATTTAGAAGGATTAGATGTTCATTTTGTATTTATTAGTCGTGTGTTTAAGAATGTATTAATGGCTCGGTCGAGGTGCGCTGAGAACTAATCAACACATGTGCTATGTACGTCTTGCAAATGATTTTTACTAAGTGATTTTCTTGTATCTCGCATAAGATCACTGCGACTCAAATTATGTCCCCTGATTTTGCGTACATATTTAATTGACCATTAGAGATGTAAATTGTTCTTGGCCACGTCTAGTAGTTTTCGCCAACCACATCGATTATCAGATTCCTGTCGCCAGTTAGTACTACGGAGTGCTTTAATATCGTATATCACTTGGTTCTTCCTCTGAAAGTTCGGGTGTCATCAAACATGTTTTTCACCAACGAATACCGAATAAAATACCCTTCTAGCTTCTTTCATTCGCTCGAATCTCTGGCTTGATTATTCTAGCGAGACCGTTGAATTTTTATGCGCTTAGATATGTCAATGTTACGTTTCAACAAATCAACAAGTCATCATGTCAACAAGTACCTAATTCGATACTTCTAATTCTAATACTGCTAATTCAATAAAATCTTTCCATCACTGTTGGGAATTGTCCGAGCTTTTGCACCACGCAGAAGACATGATAGGCATAGTAAAAGATATGTAGAGTGTATTTTTTGTGTGTCCAAAAAGGATCGTATTTCTTAATTAATTGCATAGCTCAAAGTATCATTTGTTAGCTGACGTCACGATTTAACGAAGCTGAGTTGCCGCAATTGACACAGAGATACTTTGTTTGTTTTTTATGTGAAGGCGAAGGCTACTTGTTTATGATAAGTAATCACCAAGTTATGCTGCTTTTAGTTTTGACGAGAAAAATGTCACTGGTCTTCATCCTTTTGATACCTGCTTTTCCAACACAGTGCCGATGGCAATGTTGGATGCGTATGTCATCAGTTGAATTGAGGGAGACGATGATTGAGGAAACATCATATGCGAGAACTGGACATACAATAGTCCATGCACATGTGTAATATCGTGACGAATCATCCATTTTTGCAAGAGTAGAAAGCTATACTGAACTAAGCATATATTTCTTATCTCTTCTTTCAATGTTAAATGAATTTGGTTTTTCCAGTTTAGAATGATAAACAATTTTTGTGAAGATTATAAAAATTTCTTTTTTATTAGTATTATTTTACGATATTAGTATATGCAATCACAGAAGCTGTTAACATCATTACCTCGTATGGACAACCAAGACGACTAAAACGGTGAAATGTCGCTGACATGGCATCGAATCAGAATGTAGAGTCATTTGTTTAGAAAATTGCTTTTTTATGCATTTATATTATTGATCAGATACAAGCTACTCGTCGTTTATAATGTAAATACTCGTAGCAATAAAAAAGAAATATATATATATATATATATATATAAAAATTAGTATTATTAGATTAGTGTTGCACTGAATATAGCGTTACGAATATTCGAAAAATATTATTTTAACAATTTAAAAAATTACAAATTTTATCTTTGAACAGATATATGTGTATGTATAGTGTAGACATTTTTTTTAAACAATCTACAAGTTAGTTTCTCATTGGATGAAGACAATGTTATGGTATAGTAATATACAAAAAGTATTAAAACTTTTTAAGGATTATAGTAAATAATTTACCAATTCAAATTGCAATTGCACATATGTACATCTCATTTTTCTTACTTGCGAAGACATAAAGTATACAATACATCCATTAAATTTAACACAACTCGATTTGAACTGAGAAAGATTTTGGGTAGTGGTTGGTTTTTGTAATGCAGAAATAATAAATTTATTTTCTCTATTCTGAAATTGTAAATTTAATTTGGTCTGCCACAACCCAAATATCACAGTGCTTGATTCTGATGTTGAACCATATGCTTTGGCACTTCATTTCCTGTAAACCACACTTCACTGCACTTTCTATTGAATTTATATGAAATGCTTTATTTTTCACTATGACAATAGAAAAATACGAGTATTGTTGCAGTACATTTTGTAATTCCAAACATGCTTCCAACACCTTGCAGCATTCAAAAGATATTGGCAGTACGGAAAAGCTTCAATGCTGGTTGCATCTAATGCAATTGTTGGTTTGTATCCTTGGGGTAGAATGTCATTTATTTTGTTGACATTGATGTAAAAGAACACAAATAAATTTACTTCTCATCAAACCATGTTTTTTATAATATTTTTATTTTTTTTTAAACAATAAATAGTTCTGTTTTTAGCATTTGAAGGTAATCATTGACAACTAATTAATTCAATTTATAAGCAAAAATGTAAGTGAGTATTGAAATTTTAATGAGAAATGGGAATATGTCTTCCATACATACTTTATATGCAATATTACGTTACAAAAATGTAATTAATTTCTTAAAATCGGTATTTCGTTTTTTTTTAAATACAGGGCCAAAAATTCCCTGTTCCACATTCTGACTCTGATAGCTCTACAAAGTAACAAAGTCTAGTACGTTATGTTAGATCATTGGATTTTAAGAGAGTTGAGAGAATCCAGTATCATACCTTAATTAATATTATTTCCAAACTTCTTTAGGAGCATAAGATTTCTACATTGTTTTTCCAGTTGTTTCTGTTTCGAGGTACAGCTCTTAGTTCGCTAAACGACAACAGTACCAGAACTTAATCGACGTAATTGAGGTCTTCAAGTGGTTCATTTAGTCGCCAGCTCATTCTGCTGTTTTCGGTATCAAAGACTTCAAGCATTCAGTCCAGAACTACAATGAAAAGCAGGAGGGACAAAAGACATTCTTTTCTGACACCTGTCGTTGATGGAAATGCCTCGTTTAATGCTCCCTTGTGCAACACTCCAAAATGCGCGCAATTATAC